TCCTGCAGTTCAACAGCTTTGAGCAGCTCTGCATCAATTTCACCAATGAGAAGCTGCAGCAGTTCTTCAACCACCACATGTTTGTGCTGGAGCAGGAGGAGTACAAGAAGGAGGGCATCGAGTGGGAGTTCATCGACTTTGGCATGGACCTACAGGCCTGCATTGACCTCATCGAGAAGGTGCCGCCTTGGCCCCACCGCCTGTATCCCACCCCTGCCATCCCAGACAAAGGAGCAGTCCTGTCCATTGTACACTCAAGGAACTAGAGTCCCTAGAATCCTAAACATCTCTCAGATCCATCTTCTACCCACTGTGAAGTCATATATACACACAGGATGAGTCCCTTCCTTCTTTTCCCAGGACCTAGCACCTAGTCCCTCACCTCTAAGAGTGTTGGAGATCCCAGTGTCTTAAGAGTGGGATGCAGTAAAAGAGAGGACTCTAGGCCCCTCTGACAGCCCATAATGAGCATCATTCATGGAAAGATCCTAGGCTGAAACTAGAGATGTTTAGTTTTCCATCCCCTTCCCAAGGAATACCCTTCTCCCTGGTCAATGAGAGAAAAACCCCTCTTCAGGCTCTCTTGTGTGTAGGCATTCCTCAGAAGAACAAAGGAAGGGCGCTGGTAGGATGGTCTTCCTTGTGCCAGTGCTGACTTGTTCTCGGTGTTCCTTCACTCTTTGCTGATACAGGCCAGAGCGCTGAGTGACTCTCACCCTGCTCAGTCACTGCCCTCCTGAAAACAGGAGTTTCCCACAAGATTTGAGTCATTATCAAGGGATTCTTAAGCAGGGTGCTGGTCTCCCAGAGATGTCAGAATCCCCTGATATTGTGTGGAAAAGAGTGTGTGTACATATGTATGTACAAACACTTTTGGGGGAAGACAGTCTTTGGCTTCATCAAATTCTCAGAAGGATTCCTGCTCCAAGAACAGTCAAGAACCACTACATTTTCTGTAGTATAGTTTTGTGCAGAGTTTTGCAGAACCTCATTCCTCTAACCATTTCTTGAAAAATTGTTACCATTGTCACATAGACAGGGGTCTGGCCTCTCCCTGCAGTCTGGTGCTCTGACACACATCAGTCCCTGTCCTCACCCGCATCTGGGGCAGTGAGCCATCCAGGAAGAAGGGGCTATATAGTGAGGCTTTCCAGGCCTTGAGGGGTAACTGGGAGTACATGGCTCCTCACTGGGTCTACTGGGGCAGAAAGAAGTTATATAAGCCAGACCTGCATGTAATTGGGTTTAGGTTAATTCCAGGAATATTGGCTTCCTATCTTGGGAAAAGAGGGACCAGCACAGGTTCCCTTTGGTCTGCCAGCAATACTGGGCTGTAGTCTTTCCTCTGGCAGGATGTGGTACCCTGTGGAAGCCAGAGAATGCACTTAGTAATGCTGTCTCTACTTCCCCTATGCTTCCCTCAGCCCATGGGTATCATGTCCATCCTGGAGGAGGAGTGCATGTTCCCCAAGGCCACTGACATGACCTTCAAGGCCAAGCTGTATGACAACCACCTGGGAAAGTCCAACAACTTCCAGAAGCCACGCAATATCAAGGGAAAGCCGGAAGCCCACTTCTCCCTGATCCACTATGCTGGCACTGTGGACTACAACATCCTGGGCTGGCTAGAGAAGAATAAAGACCCGCTCAATGAGACAGTGGTGGGCTTGTACCAGAAGTCCTCTCTCAAGCTCATGGCCACACTCTTTTCCTCTTATGCTAGTGCTGATACCGGTAAGGGGGTAGCCCCCACACTAGGGAAGGGGCTTCTGGAGGCACAAGCGTTCAGAGTCCTGCTGCTTTAAAGTATATAATTCTTGAGAGAGGGGAGCCTGTGGGCCATGAGATATGAGTCAGGAGATCCCACAGTCCATCTGTGGGACCTGCCATGCTTTCTATTTTGTATCATTGATGTTGATATGTATGTCTTATGTCTCCTCAAGACTGTGAGCAGCTAGAGGTCAGCGAGGGCGGCCCATGCATCATTGTACTGATCCCAGCATAGAGTCGTGCATGCAGGAGGACTCAGTAAGCATTGAGAAGGTCACTGAATAAATAGTAGAGCAAATGAGTCTTCAGTTCAGAAAAGAAAGAGAAAAGGTGCGGATTGACATGAGGAAGAGGAAGTGCAAGAGGACAAACAGAAGGTGGAAAGACATAAGAATGAAGGGCGGGATAGGGGCACTGATATTATTTCAATGCCTACCGTGGGTTCCTTCTGTGCATGCTTTTATTTAACGCTGTCTACAACTTTTAGAGATAGTTCCTGTCATCCTCATGAAAAAACTGAGGCTTGGAGAGTAAGTTGCCCAAGGTCACACAGCTAGTGAGTGGCTGAGCCCAGACACTGCCCGAAGCCTCCCTCAATTTCAAGGTTTTTTGTTCATCATTCCTTCTCTTGTTATTAGTGGATAGCAGTAAAGCCAAAGGAGGCAAGAAAAAGGGTTCATCCTTTCAGACGGTGTCGGCCCTCCACCGGGTAAGAAGGGCCCTGAGATGCTAGACCCTGTGGTGGGAGGGTAGGATCAGCCCAGAGCCTGTTGGATGCATCATCCTAACCTGAGTTTGTGGTGGTAAAAGGTAAAAAGAATCTAGAGTTATGTAGTCATTCTGGCGTGCAAATTCTACACAAGCCTGGACATGCAATCACAAATTAAGAGTCAACTCCCTGTCCCTTTGAGGGTTCTGGTCCTTTTGGCAGGGATGGTCCTTGTGGCTCCTAACTTGCCACCCCATCCACCCCCAGGAGAATCTGAACAAGCTGATGACCAACCTGAGGACCACCCACCCTCACTTTGTGCGCTGCATCATCCCCAATGAACGGAAGGCTCCTGGTGAGTGACGGGGAAGGGTTTAGGCTGAGGAGGATGCTTGGCATTCACTTGGCCTAAGGCTGACCTCTCTCCTCTGCCCTCCTGTCGCAGGAGTGATGGACAACCCCCTGGTCATGCACCAGCTGCGTTGCAACGGCGTGCTAGAGGGTATCCGCATCTGCAGGAAGGGCTTCCCCAACCGTATCCTCTACGGGGACTTCCGGCAGAGGTGGGTGTGGGGACTACCCCCAGAGCTTGGGGATAGGGGAAGCCTGGGCAGCCTTGGTGGGGAGGGGAATCTGCAGGCAGCCTTGGAATTCTGTGGGCAGAGTGGGTTAGTGCAGAACGTGGGTGACTCCAGGCACTTCTCTCCCCAGATATCGCATCCTGAACCCAGCGGCCATCCCTGAGGGGCAGTTTATTGACAGCAGGAAAGGGACAGAGAAGCTGCTGGGCTCCCTAGACATCGATCACAACCAGTACAAGTTCGGCCACACCAAGGTGAGTCTAGAGCCCCACAGTGTGGAGTTGCAGGGTGTGTGACCATGTTGAGGAGAACGGCTCGGAGCTCAGGAGGGAGACACGAGAGTCCCAGTATCCTGTATCAACCCAAGGGCTAGACCTCAGGCTTCCTGTCTGTCTTGTTCATGTTGTCACTCTCAGGATATGTGGATAATGGATCTCCTGGGAGCTCAGCCAGGGTCTCCCACCCTCTTTCTCCACTTGGATACTCTTCTCTGAGGTTAATAATGCCCCCTTGGATCTACTCTGTACTTGCAGGTGTTCTTCAAGGCAGGGCTGCTGGGGTTGCTGGAGGAGATGCGGGACGAGAGGCTGAGCCGCATCATCACTCGCATCCAGGCCCAAGCCCGGGGCCAGCTCATGCGCATTGAGTTCAAAAAGATGGTGGAGCGCAGGTGAGGTGGGAGGGGAAACATGGGAAAGGCACCTCAGAGATGTAAGAGGCCTACAAGCAATGACAACTAGTATGGGTCAGAAGACCTGGGTTCAAATCCTGGCTCCAGCACTTACTAGCTGTGTGACCTGGGCAAGTTACCTTACCACTCTGAGTCTCATTTTGAATTCTTTTTTTAAAAAAATTCCCATAGGGAATATAAATTAAAGTTCCAATGAGAGACCATTTTAAAACACTAGATTGACAAAAAAATTAAGAAGTCCGATCCACTGCCTATGGCTGTGTAAATTAGTGCAAACTCTTTGGAAAACAATTTATCATTATATTTTAAAGTTGAATAGTTGCAGACCTTACAGTTCCACTCCTAAGTGTAATCCCACAGAGAAACTCATACACATGTACACGATGACACATAAGGAATCTTCATAGCAGCATTGGTCATAATAGCAAAAATTTGGAAATAGCCCAATTTCCATCAACAGAGGAATGGAAAAACAGTGGTATATTCCCTCAGTGGAATATTAGAAAGCAATGAAAAGGAGTTAACTACAACTACATGATACAGGTAGTCCCCGACTTACAACAGGGTTCCCTTCGACGACTCTGTTGTAAATTGGTTCTGACATAAGTCGAATACCTCATCTTTTTTTTAGTTTTCATTATTATTGCCTTTTATTCTCAGTATCTTTATAAATCTGATCTTTATCTTTGGGGATTCAAAACATTACATATAAACATCTGAGAGTGAACATCTGAGGATGATAACATCAGCAAATTACACGCTGCAACATTATATGTAGTAAGAAATGGATGGTCGTTTAAGTGTGGTTTGTCATAACTCGAATATGTCGTAAATCAGGGGCTACCTGTACAATATTTTTGAACCTTGAAAGCGTATTGTTGAGTTAAAGAAAGCAAGTCACAGAAAGATCTGTACAGTATGATGCCATTTTTATAAAGCTCAGAAATAATACATTGTTTAAAGGTACATACATATGTGGTTAAAGTATTTGGTTGAAAAAGTAAGAAAATGAAAAACACAAGATTCAGGGTAGTGATACCTCTGGTGGGAGGACCACAGAATGGGATAGGTAGGAGCATGCAGGTAGATTCAAAAGCTGGTAATGTTCTAATTCTCGTTTTGAGTGGTGGGTTCATGGATATTCTTTTTTTTTAAAATGCTTCATAATCTACATATATATCACAGCTATTAATATTTGTAAAATATTACATAATTTTTAACATATTTGAGGTTTTCAAGAGATTAGAAACAATGATCATAGTAGACATTCTCTAGGTGGTAGCTTTCGTTACTACAAAGCCCCAACAGGAAAGTATAAGCTGCCCTTTCATTGATTGATCAGTTAATAAATATTTATTGAGCAACTCCTGGAGCCCTGGTGGCACGGTGGTTAAGCACTCAGCTGCTAAGCAAAAGGCTGGAGGTTCAAACCCACCAGCCACTCTGCGGGAGAAAGATGTGGCAGTCTGCTTCAGTAAAGATTTACAGCCTTGGAAACCCTATGGGGCAGTTCTATCGTGTCCTGTAGATTTGCTATGAGTCTGAATCAACTCGACGGCGGTGGATTTTTGGGAGCAACTCCTTTCTCAGTGTGGTGATGTTTGGGGACGAGGGTGCATATCAAGGCTACAGGACATGGCTTTCTGCCCTCAGATGCCTACAAACTTTGCCAAGATGGTCAGGGAGCCAAGTCCAGTTGGTCCCAGAAATGGGAAGTGTTCTTTCATAGTGCCCCTCCCTGACTCCATGTTTCCTTGTCAGGGATGCGCTGCTGGTAATCCAGTGGAACATTCGAGCCTTCATGGGGGTCAAGAACTGGCCCTGGATGAAGCTCTACTTCAAGATCAAGCCACTGCTGAAGAGTGCAGAGACGGAGAAGGAGATGGCCAACATGAAAGAGGAATTTGGGCGCATCAAAGAGGCGCTGGAGAAATCCGAGGCTCGCCGCAAGGAGCTTGAGGAGAAGATGGTATCCCTGCTGCAGGAGAAGAATGACCTGCAGCTCCAAGTGCAAGCGGTGAGACCACGGGATTATCTCTTCATCTTTTTCCCCCCACCGCCCCCCAGATTATAGTCCATCTCATCATCAGGGACTAATTGTCCAGGAGCTCCAGTTCTCTTTAAGATCCTGGTCTCTCCTCTCTTCAATCACCAACTCTCCTCTCTGTCCTCTTCCCCAGGAACAAGACAACCTTAACGATGCAGAGGAGCGCTGCGACCAGCTGATCAAGAACAAGATTCAGCTAGAGGCCAAGGTGAAGGAGATGACCGAGCGGCTAGAGGACGAGGAGGAGATGAACGCCGAGCTCACCGCCAAGAAGCGCAAGCTGGAGGATGAATGCTCTGAGCTCAAGAAGGATATTGACGACCTGGAGCTGACGCTGGCCAAAGTGGAGAAGGAGAAGCATGCAACAGAAAACAAGGTGAGAGCAGCTCCCTCCAGCTCCTACCCAGGTCTTTTTCAGTGTTCCCAAATTGCACTGACCTTGACTCAGGCCAGGCCACTCAGGGGGTCCTGAGAGAAGTGTGGTCCCTGGCACTGGAAGTCCCCATAGATGTCTCCAGGCTGATGACCTTTGACCCTAATGGAAATGGGGGTCTTGGCCTGCAGGTGAAGAACCTGACAGAGGAGATGGCTGGGCTGGATGAGATCATCGCCAAGCTGACCAAGGAGAAGAAAGCTCTGCAAGAGGCTCACCAGCAGGCCCTGGATGACCTTCAGGCAGAGGAGGACAAGGTCAACACCCTGACCAAGTCTAAGGTCAAGCTGGAGCAGCAGGTGGATGACGTGAGTAGTAAGAACTATGCTCCATGTGCCTCAGGTCAGGCTTTTGCAGGCAACACCGATGACCAAGGGGCTCCTGATCCCTAGAACCAACTTTTTAAAAATTTTTCTTTCTTTTTTTATTGTACTTTAGGTGAAGGTTTACAGAACAAATAGTTTCTCATTAAACAGTCAGTACACGTATTGTTTTATGACATTGGTTAACAACCCCATGACATGTCAACACCCTCCCTTCTTGACCTTTTTTTTTTTGGGTGAAAATATACATAGCCAAAGATACACCATTTCAAAAATTTCTACATG